TCATCATAATACACAACTGTATTTACATGCATTTTTTTTGCATGTGGACCTCAGCTTGCCATTTTCAAAAATCTGGGTCCTAGTGAATTTATCCCATCCTGCAGATCCCTAAAGCTTTGGACCATACCCTGCCAAGAATTCGCATGTATATACTCCCACTGACTTTATGGAAGCTTGTATTCAGAACAACCTCAAGCTATGGTGCTAAAGCAGGAGTTTTTCCTATAGAAATGATCAGATCCAGTCCAGTTTTATTGAAAATTAGAGATGAGTCTGATTAAAAACCTTGATCTGAGCCTTGGGGAACTCTGGAGGTGGTTAGAATCATAGGATATTAGGGTTGGAAGAGACCTCAGGAGGTCATCTAGTCCAATGGGCATTTGGATATGAATTTGGTGGTTCCAGCTCATTGATTATCTCTTACTTCTAATCCATTTTTAGGTATAAAGCCAGGTCACATAATGGTATATCTTCTTAAGGGGCATGAGTACTTCAGAGATTGCATGGTGAGCATAGGCCAAGTGGCCTAACTGTAAAGTCCAGTAGAACGAAATCTGTGAATCCCATGGTGGTTGCAAGCACACCTCTGGGCATGCAATGACGATGCCCTTCCAGCATTGCTAGATGGGATGGGAGCCCCAGATAGGCACGGGGCCCCAGTATGGAAAAGGTTGAGCACCACTGCAATATTTTATAAGCATATCCTTTTCCCTCATTTGTCTCTGATGTGTCAGTTTGCCATGTATCAATGACAGCGTAATTTGAAAATACTGGGCCAGATCCATAGCCGGTGTAAATCAACATAGCGTCATTGCAAGCAATGGAGCTAGATCAGCTTACACCAGCCGAGAACCTGGCCCACTTCAGCTCACCCAAGGGTGCAGTGGGTCAGTCAATACTCTAGGTTTTGATCCTGCAAAGACATACAAGTGCTTAACTTTACACACTGTGGCTGAGTATGAAATGAATGAGACTACTGCCAGGCTCTGAGCCACAGCTAATTGAAGTAAAAAATCTGGATTCAAATCCTAGTGTTAAGTCACTAGGTAAGATGCATGTGGTGATTTTACCCAACTGGCCCAGCCATGGCGGGGTGGTGGAGGCGGAAGCTGGTACAAATTACCGGGGCCCGGCTTCCCCCCCGCCTCTTGTCGGCCCTGTTTAGCCGGTCCGGGGCCCAGCGGTCCAGAAGGGGGTCCTTGCTGGGGGGCCTGAAAAAAATTTTTCAGCAGGGCCCGAACCCGCTCTCGGCGGCCCTGGGCCCAGCGTACGATACCAGCATGTAAGCTGGTTCGCTGTGTTTTCATGAAGCAGGAACCCCTCTGCCTGTACTATTGCACTACTGAGCAGTGATGCCGTGGTGCTGAAATATAGAAAGCCAATGGCACATTAACACCATGTTACTGGAATACATCAGAGTAATTGTGCTCTCTCTGGTGCTGTATTACTTACTACATGTCATCTCGGTAACGGTGCTCGTTGTAATGTAGAGTGCTCATGGGGAGGTGTGAGAGAGATGTCTTAATGGCAGACCTTGACATTTCTGCAGGATAATCTACATTCCTTCAGATCAACATAGCGTTTGCACTAGCATAAGGCCTCAACTAGAGCTGTGCAAAACTTCCAATCATAACAAAAACTGAAACCAGACCAAACCTTGATGTCGTGGGAGTTAATGAAATCTCAACAGGTTTTGGACCAGGTACACTCATGTCAGACTTGAGCGAGGTGCACTAAAACGTCCATCAGGATTTGTGAACCCTTTTAAAAAAAAAACATGACCGTATTCTACTGTAATGACCTAATGCTTACAATAATGCTACTGCAGGATTCAGGGCAATTACTTGCAAACAGTAAATTCTGTTGAAGTCTATCATTTTAATTACTGTGAAACCCTTAGGGTATAAGATCGGTGCTATAAAATCTAAATAAGTCACAAAGGCCTTTCAGCAAGCCCCAGGAAAATTTCAACTGAGTCTGGGTCTAAGGGCTTATCGACGCATGAAAGTTAATTTGAATTATGGGAGGTTGTAAATATATCCACATGTGGACTCTCTTATTCTGGAATAAGGTGAAGACGGTCCTCTTGTGAAGTTATTCAGCAATAACTATTCTTTCTGGAATAACTCCATGTGCAGACATGTAGTGTGGACACATCTGTAGGAAAGCCTAAGGTTTGCTGGGTGACTTGGGGCAAGTCATGTCCCCTCCCTGTGCCTCAGTTTCCCCAGCAGCAAAAATGGAGATAATGATACTGACCTCCTTTGTAAAGGGCTGTGAGACCCACAAATGAAAAGCGCTGTAGAAGAGATAGTGATAATTATTATTTGCCCAAAACTTAAACCAAACTCTAAAGCACTATTGAAGTGCATTTACCCTTCTTTGCACTTCTTGGGGCTTGTCTACATGTTGTGTTAGTCTGCACTAAAGGGGTGAAAATTCTAGTGTGCACTAGTATGTTGCACACTAACTGGCACATGGGAACCCTGCTGGCATGCACTAAAAGTTCCCTAATGTAATGTAGTCCTATTTCAAATAGTACTACCTTAAAGCACATTAGGGTACTTTTAGTGAGCACCAGAAGGGTCCACCCGAGCCAGTTAGTGTATGACATGCTAGTGCAGACTAGAATTTATACCTGTTTAGTGCAGACTAACGCACTGTGTAGACAACCCCTTGATTTTATTCTGGGACGTGAAAATATCACTACAAAATCTTTTTTTGTGGTATTTTTAACCTGGCCAGACCCAGAAGGTATGGAAAACCATTGTGAAATTTCTAATCAGATGTCCAGCCCATTGAGATCTGGGTAAACCTGTCTGAACCAGACAGTTGGAAGTTCAGAAGTTCAGCCATTGCTAATGGCACCTACCGTGAGGTGCTGAGCTCGCCGAATTCCCCATGAATGCAATATGGAACCTGAGGGAGCTCATGTTCTGCAGAACTGTGTAGGAAATACACAAAGATTCAGGGTGAAATCCTGGCCGCATTCAAGTCAATGGGACTTTTGTCATTGACTTCAGTTGAGATGGGATTTCATCCTCAGCCTCTACAGTAAATTTGCTAGCACCCGACTTGTGAAAAACGTGGTGGTTTTGCGGCTTGATGAGTGTGAATCTTTTGAGTTTCTCTCCACTTGTATTCAGACCTGCTGGGTTCGTTCTGAATGCCTGATTCTTGGCTGACCTTATATAGTCATTTAGATGCAGAAAGTCAAGTGTGGAATGCTTCCATTCTGACTTGAGAGAATCTTACACCCACTTTGCCCACGTGTAAATGACTATGCAAGTTGTAAGTCAACACAGAATCAAGCCCTGAGAGTTTCAGGTTCAGATGACTCCCTTATCGCAAAGCAAAACTCATTCAAAGCCCCCACATTTTTGTTTTGAATAAAACCACAAATTCCTCTGTAGAACTTGAAACTCAGTCCTTGTATATACCCAGATTTGTACCAACTAAAGATGTGTTTTTAAACTGATTTAGTTAAACCTGTGCAAACCCCATGTAGACATTCTTATTTCAGTTTAAGAGTGACTTGTATTGGTTTGGCTCAGGTTGCTAGAGAGGAAGGATAGTCTAGTGGCTTAGGGTGCTAGCCTTGGATTCGGGAGACCTGCATTGAATTTCCGGTTCTATCAGACTCCTTATGTGACCTTGGCAGAGCTGGGAATTGAATCTATGTCTCCTGAGTCCCTACCCACTAGACCACACTGCTTCCCTTATTTATTTCTATTATTATTGTTGTTGTTGTTGTTGTTTATGTTTTTTTTAATTGCTTTACCCATCACTTAACCACAGTTTGAGCCTCATCATTGTTGATCAGGTTAAGAATTATGAGCAGACATCTGGATATAACTTCCAGTTAAGGTTGTGCAAAATACTCCAAGAAAATCCACAATGCTCAGAATTTGGGTTTTTTGTATTTCATTGGGATTTCATGAAGTTGTGAATTTTTTTAAAAACAGCAAAATATCATGAGGTTTTATTTGTTTGTTTGTTGCTTGAAAATAAGTTGATTTGGGAGTGAAAATTTGGCCATCAAATAATCCCCTTTCTGAGTGAAAAAGCTCATATTTTTCAAAATTTCACAGATTAGTTCAGAAGAAGATCAAATTTTGTACTGAACCATGCAAAAATGTGAATGTTTCAATATTTAAAGAAATCTTGTGTAATTTTGCAAAGAACTGAACACAAAACGTGAAAACCTTGTCATGAAATATTTTCTGAATGAATGCTACAAACTTGTATAAATTGCTCCTGCTATAAAAACCAGGAAAGTAGTGGCGTAGATCTGTCCGGAAGCTATATTGCAGCACCGGGATCCATGAGGGTGGAATGGAATTAGGAGTCCCTTGCTGAGAAGTTAAAAATACCCAAATCACAGGAGAAGCAGCATAGAAAAAGCAGAACTTGACAAAGATGCCAGTTCTTCCTGAAAAAAGTTGCACCATTACCTGCCAACTACCCAAAACAGAGAGAAAGGGAGATGATGATTTTTTTAAATATTGAAGGCTGCAAACCTTAAATGGCATGTTGCTATTTTATTATGTTGCAGGTTGTTCTGCTCTGTGATTTACAAGGCAATTCCCATCCACCCAGCACACAGCAATGCGGTTATATTAGTTTAGATGATATCAGCCATGTGTACTTAAACAGGCAGCCTGTGACTGATCCCCTCTGTGACCATTTTAGGTGTTAAATTAAGGTCTGATTAAGAGTATGTGGCTGCAGCTAAGGTCAAGGACTAAAGAACACAGGCTTTGTTTCATCTAATAACAATAGAGATTGACTGGTTGCCAAATACCCTTGTCAGACTGCTGTCCAGCTAGAGGGATCTGATTACACCGGTTTCCCTTTTTAAACCCAGCTTCTAAGAGGGCTTGTAGTTATTTCATCTACAATAACTGCTATTGTGTTACCGGAACTATATGTTACATTCTATATGATCAAAGCAGAAATGCAGGAAAGTTTATCATGGTGTTAATGTTGGACTGAGAGGGGAAAAAATACAATACTACAGGGTACCAGGTCATGCCACCAAAGTAAATACCCACAGCAGACAAGCTTAGAACTTGACCCACTCCACGGTGAGTGTTTAGTTGGTGTAAACGCTTGGGGGCAGCTCAAGGACTTGTCCCATCAGCAGTCACCAGCACAGATGTGTTGAAAAGAATACAATGGAGATAAAAGCAGAGCAGAGAAGAGGAAAACAAGTAGCTTCTAAACTGTGGGATGAAGGAAAGAGGCAGTAATGCCATGTTGTTCTCTCTTCATGAGACCATCTTGCCATCCTGCAAAGGTTCCACACCACGGGGCCAGGAACCATCACCAGTGTGGTTCTTCATAACTGGACAATGTCATTCCAATGTCAACAAAGTGCTCCTGCAAAAAGTGTCCCCAGGAGCCTGCACTGAACTTAGTGTACAGGGATGTGCGCACTTGCTGAGAGCAAAGATGAGTGGACTGGGGAATCTATATGTTTGAATAAAAATGCTCTCTCCTAGCCCTAACCAATTATTTCATCTCTTGTTTCTACAGTCTTGGTCCAGTTCCAGGAAAGGGACTGCTTTCTGTGGCCAGGACGCCCTCTTCTGTTGATGGTCAGTTTCATTGTTTCAGTGCTTGTCAAGGGAGGTCATAGTCACAGAGAGAGAAAGATTTCTCTTCAAAGTCATCTGAAGCATCTGGTGCTGTCCATTGTCACAGACAAATTACTGGAGGAGATGAAGCACTATTCTGAGCTGGTATGACAATTCCTATGTTCTCAGAGCCTGCCCCTATCCCATCTCACAGGTTACATTGAAATCAGTACTTGCTGTGACAGATCTTTACAATTGCATTGGGGATGATTTAAAAAGCGCTATGCTTCCCTATAGAGTCTCCATGCCTTGATTTCAGTAACTTGGGATATAACTTCCCTCCTTACAATTAGCAGAGGGCGAATCCCATAAGGTTGAGTGGCTCAATTCATTTTGGATGAGATTCCAAAAGTTTGGTCTAGTCATTGGGCTGGAAACCCCAGAGGAACACGATTTCCCATGCTCCCTGGGTTGTGAGTTTTGTCAGAAATACAGTAGCCATCACTGAAACGTCAACAATTGCCAGTAGTTACAACATTCATTGGAAACATTCATGGAAACATGCTCTGCACAATAGCCTGATCCAGCACCCACTGAAGTCAATGGCAAAGCTCCCACTGACTTCAACAAAAGCAGGATCCACTCATCCTTTTCCATTTTAAATAAAGGAAAATACAGTGGTATTGCCAGTCCAAGGGTGTGATATGTCCTGATAAAGGCTGCCTTTTTAATGCCTATCACTCTGTCAAAGAACAAGCTTTCCTTGTGATATTTTAATTTTCCAAACCCAAACTGAGAAATGCAAAAAAAAAAAAAAGGATTTTTTTTTCTTTAAAATTGCAATAAAAGTTCAGGTTTGGTTCTGTTCAAGCTCTAAGCAACAGTTTGGTACAAGTTTCCAACTTATATGAGCCAGATAGCCCATCCTTTCTTATTAACTATAGAAACAAATATTGTGTGGAGGAGACCATAGTATTTCTATACTATATACTAAAGCCAAAATGTTTAAACTTAAGTGCTTAAAATTAGGCATCTAAATCCATATTTAAGTAAATAACAATGACCTGATTTTCAAAGGTGGTGAGCTCCTGTTAAAGTCAGAGGGAGCTGAAAGGTGCTCCAACAGCTTTGAAAATTTAGCAACGGTTGTTTAGGTTCCTAAATATGGATTTAGGTGTCTACATTTAGGCATTTCAGTTTTGCTCCATATTCTATATAGCAGATACTAATAAAGTGATCACTTAGATAACTTTCCAGCTTTGCCCTAGATAACTGGTTTACATTACCTCAATACTTGCAATATTTCCAGTATTTCTCTGCAGTTTGTATAGGATGGCTCATTGCACATACTATGGAAATGTCATTAATTTACCTAAAGAAACAGCAAAATTTAAGGGCAACCACTTACTTTACTTATTGCGGAGACTCTAACCTATATACAGCATATAACACCTGCTCACTGGACAGAGAGAGAGAAAAAGCCCTTATATTCCTTCTTTATTGCAATTTATGATTGCAACTTGAATAGTTCCTAGTGACTTCCTAAGACTAATGTTAATTTTTCTGATCTGAGTTTTCCCTCTGGGGCTTTATACAGGTTTTGAGCATTCGCTTAATTTAATGTACACTTGGGAGCAAGTCTGGTGGTTCGAGAAATATTTGTAGTTGGAAATCACCGTGATTTTTGGTTAGGTTCAATGCCAAAGAAATCACAAATCATAAGTCAGCTATAGTATAGTTACTGCTACTTGGCTTTTGAATTTCTCTCTAGTTATATGCAACGTGTAATATTTTTCCCTAGTTGTACCACAGTGCAGAGTTACTAATATGCATATTGTTTATCTCTTCTTTAGAATTTCTGATGGAACTGGAGATTTTGACTAGCTGATTTGGGATTCCTAGGGATTTTATGGACTTCCTGCGTGAACCAAAACCTGTCCATTGGGGATGCATCTCTGTATCACAGCTGGTGTTTCTGAACCTTCGTCTGGAGTAGAAATTCATCCCTGATTTTTTTGGCTGGATTGACTGTTTAGTCTAGGAACTCTCAAGTACACTTTGTAGGTGCTGGAATTCCTCATTCTCTTCAGTCAGCAGCTGATGTGGTATGGTGTACATCAGGGTATATATTCTGGAGTGAGCAAAGATTTATGCTCTTCCTAACTCCCATTGATGCTAATGAGTATTACAGACATGTGTCCCGTGGAGCAAGATGAGAACATACCCCAGACTGTGTGTGGAGTTTGCCATTAGGGCATCCACACTGCTAAAAACAATACAGAGATCCCAAGGGTAGGAAAGTAATTGGACCTCTACCCTTTTTTCTAACAACGCGAATGTAAGAGATACATTTTAAAGTCTCTCTCATTTCTCTCCCTCTCCTACCAGCACCTGTATTAATTTTTGGTTATGAGTGACCTCACAGAAGAATTGATTTCCATTTTTGAAGATGTTTCCAAAGGTAATATTCATAATATTTTACTGTCAGACATTGTTTTTGTTGCTAAGTATGGTCTAATGTCTAAAGCACACAGACTTCGAGTCAGGATTATTGGGTTTTATTCCCTGCTCTACCAATGTCTCATTTGTCATTTCACCGCTACGTCTCAGTTGTACAATGGGTATAATAATAATCTGTTTCATGGGAGTTTTGTAAGACTTCAGTAACTAATATTTGTTGTATTAGGAGCCATTAGAGTCAGTGGAGACTGACTGCTGTCATGCGACAGGGGTATTAACCTTTTGTAAGCCCAGTTCAAATCAGATGACTAGAGTCTGGCAATATGAGGCCAGAGTTTACTAGACAGGAATTTTTTTATTAATGGTTTTTTTTTATTTGAAAATGCTGATTAGTCAAAAGATAAACTGTTCACAGGAAAAAGGTTGGTTTCGATGAATTTCCCATTTTAAAAAAAAACAGAAAAAAATTCAAAATTGTCAAACATTTCAGAAATTGTCAACATTTTCTAAATGAAAAAGTTCCGTTTTTTTTATTAAAAACATCTTTTTGTTCCAAATTTTACAAGAATTTGTTTATTTTTAAAAAAAATAAAGGTTAAAAGGTTTAAATATTTCAAAATTATCTAAATGAAACATTCTAACTGACCCAATCCAAACTTTTTTTGATTTTTCAGTAGCCATGGGCAAGTACTTCACCTCTTTATTCCTTAGTTTTTCCATCTGAAATGGAGATAATCATCCTGATTCCAGATGTATAAAGTGTTTTGAGATCTATAAATGAGAGGTGCTATTGTCTGTAAGAGATGTTGAAATCTTTAGAAAAATTGTGCTCTATAAATGCATATATATTATCATTGTTATTTCACAGACTGACAACTCTTATGGCAGCTTTGGATACAGAAGAAAAAGCAGATGTGGCAAAGAATAAGTCATAATAAGAAACTGTCATCCTTTAGAGCAGGGGTTCTCAAATTGGGGGTCGGGACCCCTCAGGGGGTCGTGAGGTGATTACATGGGGGGGTCACGAGCTGTCAGCCTCCACCCCAAACCCCGCTTTGCCTCCAGCGTTTATAATGATGTTAAATATATTTAAAAGTGTTTTTAATTTATAAGGGGGGGGGTCACACTTTGAGGCTTGCTATGTGAAAGGGGTCACCAGTAAAAAAGTTTAAGAGCCATTGCTTTAGAGGATCTAAAAAGTACACTAAAATGTTGCACCCTGGAGAATCCAGTATGCCAATATATGTGCTACAGTAATTACACCAATCTTGAAGATCAATATTATTCCCCATCCCCAGCCGCATCCAGTTTCTCAGGGGAATTGAAGCTTATGGGGATATATACAGTTTAAAGCCCTGATCCTACAAACTTTTACACATGAGCTTAATGCTAAGCCCCTGAATGGTCACACTGATTTCAACAGCACCGTTCGCATGTATTTGCACAAGTGTTTGCATGATCAAAGCTTAAGACTAGTCAATGCAAAGATTGTTTTCAGAGGGAGCCTGTAAAATCTACTTTTGCATATAAGTTAATATTTTATTGTCATTCTGTAATGTTGTGCAGTGGCTTTGTGAAACAGTCTAATATTTTATACACTATAAAATGTTTCTGATAGTATTTTCCATTTCTAACTCTTTGGAGGATAATTAAAACAAAATCTGTTAAATGTATTCATGGTTTGGTTCCTTGATGGCATAAGACACCTGGTATAAACACTAAAAGTCAGGCAGCAAACAGACCCAGTCAAATATTAGATGCATTAGGACATTTTTATTTATAAATCTGAAATTATTTTTGATGACTTCAAAAGAAGGAAATGTCAGGAAGTGCATATTACCTGTGAGCTCAGTAAGACTGTCATGGAAATGCCAAAATAACATGAAATATACAAATTATAGTCCTCGAAAAATAAGCAACAAGGTCTGATTACAAGGGGCAAAACATATTTACAGAACTATCAAAAGGAAAGTGCAGGCTAGCTCCAGCACCCAAGAGCAGATCCTATTTTAAAACTATGTCCATAAGGACCAATAAATTGTTAATTTGTACTCAGTTGACTGAATCGGTGACAACATTCCATTAAATCACAGGGGTCCCAATTCAAAAAAGCACTTAAGCGTGTGCTTAAGTCCATTCTTAGTCAGGAACAGAACTTAAGCTGGTACCTAACTTTAAGCATGTGCTTAAGCCCCATTGACTTAAATGGATGGGATTTTCAAACGTTCTCAGCGCTGACTTAACTTTGTTCCCATCATATGCATGGTAAAATCCCATTGACTTTATTGGGAGTATCTAGGCCAATTCTGAATACTTGAAAACCCATCCAATGTGCTTACAGTTAAGAATGTAATTAAACATTGTCTTGAACTGTCTTTCCAGAATCAGAGCCATGATAAATAGACAATGAGATGAGACAATAGTGTTCAGAGGAGGGATTTAGGTTTATTAGGAATGGGGGAACCTTTTGGGAAAGGAGGAGCCTATCCAGGAAGGATGGGCTTCACTTAAACCAAAACAGAACCAGATTGCCGGCATGTAAAATTAAAAAGGAGTTTTTAAACTAAAAGCTGGGGGAAAGCAGACAGGTACGGAGCAGCACACGGTTTGGATAGAGACATCCTTTAGGGGAGGATTTATTAAGGGGAATTCTCTATACACCATAAAGAGGAAAGGATGGAAGTTGATAAATTACAAGTAGGAACAGAAGAGAAACAGTCAAACAAAAAAGAATCCCATTCAATTACACCACATGAAGGCAGAAAACTAAATATTGACAAACTTTATAAATGCTTGTATACAAATGCTAGAAGTCTAAATACACCTCTACCTCGATATAACGCTGGCCTCGGGAGCCAAAAAACCTTACCATGTTATAGGTGAAACCGCATTATATCGAACTTGCTTTGATCCACCGGAGTGCGCAGCCCCGCCCCCCCGGAGCACTGCTTTACCGAGTTATATACGAATTCGTGTTATATCGGGTCCGTTATATCGGGGTAGAGGTGTACTAAGATGTCTACTAAATACTAGATACTAAGATGTCTAACTTAAGTGTCTGGTAATACAATGAGGATATTGCCATAGTAGGCATCACAGAAACTTGGTGGAAAAATGATAATCAGTGGGACACAGTAATATCAGTGTACAAAAAAAACAGGAATGATAGAGTAGATTGTGCTAGTAGGGGAATGGCACTATATGTGAAGGAAAGTACAGAGTCAAATTTAGTAAAAAATCTTAAATGAATGTACCACAGAATCTCTATGGACAGAATAAGAAGAGTATAGCCAGGGCCGGCTCCAGGCACCAGCCGACCAAGCACGTGCTTGGGGTGGCACCTTGGAAGGGGCGGCCAATTTTGGGGTGGCGTGGGGCGCTCGGGGTTTTTTGTTTGTTTGTTTGTTTGTTTG